TGGAGCTTCTGGAAGATACTATTAATCCCCTTCTCACTGATATTATTGAAAATGGCCACAAATATCGGGAGGATCTGTTGATATTTCAACAAAATGGGGCTCCTTCGCACTATGCTCTGCCTGTTCGGCAGTATTTAGATCAGACTTTTCCGGATCACTGGATTGGGAGGCGGGGCACTATTGAATGGCCACCACGATCACCAGACCTTTCGCCGTTAGATTTCTTTTTGTGGGGTCATTTGAAAAGCAGAATTTACTGTACTCCTCCTGCATCAATCGAAGATTAACGGCAATGAATCATAAATGAATGTCGCCAAATCACTCCAGAAATGCTCCACAATGTTCCAGAACGTTTCCAGCAGAATCTCTATTATTGCATGGAAGCTGGAGGTGCCCATTTTGAGCATATGCTAAGATGAGAATAACGTAAGTAACTTCAACTCTAAATTTAATATGGTTCGTCCAAATTGAAAAAATATACACTGTTGTTTAGAGAATTTCAAGATCTTTCAAACGATGTGCGACTCGCCCCCAGTTCCCTATTAACATTCCAAGGGTTGTTCCCCCTCTGCTCCGGGGTTGAAGTAACGACGCTGTAAATGGGAAAAAAACTGTCTCCCTCCCAATAAAAATCGACCTGTATGAGCGTTTTTTAGGATTTGCAAGATGAGTACCCAAAACCTCCATGTCAATTTTCGAAGGCCCACCCTGTATGAAGAAGTACTGGAATGAATAGTATCACACTACATGCAAATTATCAATTGATTTGATTTTCGAAAACAATTTTTGGGCATTCCATAATTCGTTTCAGGTACACCAATGAGTTCGACTATTTCACCAATTTTTGCACAATATGTAATGGATGACCTTTTTGACTACTATATCCCAAAACATTTTTTTTCTTTTTCAGATGATGGAAAATGGTATCAGAAACATTAAATGAGAACAGACGAAAATGGAATTATTTCAGATTTGTGTATGAAACAAAAACCAATTCCTGTGAATTTTTGAATTATCTATCTCATCAGCTACATAATATTGTAATCAACTCCGATTCGGGTATGGAAAACTGTACTTCAAAATTATTTCGCTCACACAGTTCGAAGATAAGGCAGTTTCCATGGCACATGATCACCAGACAAGAAGTGAGTTTAATGTGCTAGTATCACGAACAGCAAAAGTGATAGGACAAAGATCGTATAGCTAAGACCCATCAGTCGGGCACTGTAATCAATGTCACAGTTTTACTTACAGCAAATCATTTAGGAAGTTTTACTTACAGGTGAGAATATTGCTTTTATTTGCTTTCAAAGTCAAAACTGCTATAGCATGGAAAGAAAGAAAACATGCATGAGATTCGTACATGGCAGACAAAAATATGAGAGGTTTCCTACAGAAACCAGTTTGTATTCTATCATATTGTTTCATATGGTAGTTAATGGTGGACGGCCACTATATGTATACAATAATGGAATAGTATTTAGTTCTCATGTCAATATGTTAAATGTGAAATCCAAATAAGGAAGCATTATCCTTACTCTTAATCTATTTCTTTGATCTTTCGTCCAGAGTATGAACAGCTTATTCAGTTATCCATCTTGATATCTAAATATTCTGGCGATATCTTGAATCTATTGGGGTCTCTGGGGACACCCCACATTTTATTCTATGAAAAAGAGGACATTGGCAGATTAAGATCTTCAGATGATGTGGTGCTGCAGGTTTTTCCGGGTTTTCCTTCAACCGCTTCAACAGGAATCAATCAAGTCGTCCCGGAGCTTTGAAATTTATCACTTCTTTCCTTCATTTTGAAGATTCCCACATTTTTTGTATCAAGATGGAGAAGTAGAAAGCCAAAACTTTCTTTCCTGGACACAAGTCTTTCTGCAGGTCATTTCAATTCCCCAATTATATATTCTATACATTGTATAATTTATCAATTGCAACTGAACATTTTACTGAATTCTAATCATTAAATCAATCAAAATCAGGCATGTGACTAAAGTGTGTTTTGGTGTTATGTTGACACGACGCTTGTATCTCAGTGATTAGTCTAGTCTGACATATCCTACTCTTGCCTCCCTCATCACAACAAAATATGAGGAAAGAAGATTCAAAAAGATGTCTGTCCAATGGTTATCTTGGTGTACTTCTCATTTCACCTATCATATCCAAACAAACTAGATCCCAAATTTCGCCTATATTGGTGATTGTACTCATTTGTTTCATCTTTGGCCACCAGACAAAGTAGTTAATGGATCTTTGGTTTCACCCTGAATTTATTTGGGCTCTTATCCCTCTGTTTCAGTCCTCATCTTCTGCCTTATGTTTTTCGATACATTTCATAATGATATACAAGGCGTTTATATGTAGGCGTTTTATAACATTATATTTGTCCCCATATAAAATAACTGAGTTATCTGCATTTATATCCATGACACTAACCTTGTGATAGACTGTCACAAGATTCTATAACAATGAGGACAACTGAACCGATTCCTGCATGAGAGCTGCTGAGAATATTTCTACATACATTCTACTTTTACCGTACTTTGATATACATCCGCTTTCGTTAACATGTGACGACTTTTTCATCCACAGTTTGTGTAAATTGGAAGATCCCAACGCTCCAGAATCTGGAGAAGATTGTTTCCAAGACTTGTTATTGGAAGATGGATCCTCTACATTCGAAATAATGCCAGATGATTTTGAAGTTCAGAATAGAGTTCAGCTTCCCGAAATCAAATGTGAACGATGTGTTTTGAGGTGGACTTACAGATGTGGTGAGTATAAAAACTCTATAGGGCGATATATGAGTGTGATGATTCCAAATTGCCTTCTGAACAGAAGGCAATTTGGAACGCATCAACGAGAAAGTACGTCAATAATTATAATGCCTAGAAAAACAACAAAAAAAGTCGAAAAATATACAAATATAAGAAAACGTTTACAATTTGTTCGAGTACATACAAAAATTTGGCAAGTCTTCAGGGATGCACCAACAACTTCTATACTCTACATTTCTGTTGGTAGATTGCTTTAAAATTTTATAGTTCAGTAGACACTGGTTTCTTCATGAAAGGTCTTTTTGTGCAGTGGATAGAATCATCTTCGTATCTGCTTGAATAAGGCAGTATCTGTAGAGTAGGGAATGTGAGTGTAGGCCTACAGCACTTAGACGACATGTGACCCATTGTACATCCCCCCGAGAAGTTGTCCTTCTAGGTCATCGTCCATCCTGTCCTTTCCAGAAAGGTGGACAGGCCACTAGGAGACATCTCCTTTATATCGGCAGGTGTAGGCCAAGACTCGCCGAACACACACTTTCTTATTGTGGCTTTTTTGAGCCACTCTAGCGTCACGTCGTCATCGCAGACCACTCTGATGATTTCACGATGCCCACGATTTGAACGTGGGCGGTTTACTGTTGCTGCTGGTGGCGGAGAAGATGATCTTGTCCAGCTCCTCCAGAAGTTGATTTTTGATGAGACTCTCCCATTCTGCGCACGGTTTAGTTCCATCTATGATTGCAACCTTGAGGTGTCTCACGGCGGCCTCCGCGAAGGTTTTGGAAGGTGCAGCGATATTACTGTCGTTGCGCGGCTTCTTCAACCTTCTTGGGATTCCCTTCGTGGAGGTGCTCAACTGAGGGCGCTTTCCTTCAGGGGCAGCCGGTTTCTGGCCATTATTTAAGGTGGAGCTCTTGGCGCCTGCTGCAGGAAGTACCCTTGCTGTTGTAGGTGGACTGGGGGCGGAGAAGGGTGGACTTATAGTTGCTGCTACTCCTGCCTCTTTCGGTCTCTTTCTCTTTTTGGCCTCGGCGCCGCAAATACATTTTTGCCTTGGCCTTTGTATCGAATCACGAGGTGATCTGCTATGTCCAGCCTCATTCTGAGAGGTAGATCGGGGTGGACACTTCTATTCATCCCAGCCACCGCCATAGATTGAGGTGAGCACTTCTGTTCAGCCTCGGGATTGATAAAAACATTACGAGAAAGCAATGACGCATGAGGATCGGCATTATCGTGATGCAAAAGCCATGGATTGTTTTTCCACAAAACGGCGCATAACTTCGAGATGATATTTCTCTTTGGCCGTATGGCCATGTGACAAGAACTCTTGATGCACTGCGCTATAGTGAACGGAAAAACAGTAAGCAAAACCTTGACAATCGATCGAATTTGGCGTGCTGTTTTGGTTCTCCCGAGCTCTTCCATCGAGGTCATAACCGTATATCCATGATTTTTCACCAGTTATGACCTTTTTGAGCAAATCTATATCGCCGTTGACATCATTCAACAATTCCTGGGCGATGCTCATGCGACGGTTTTTTCATTCATTCACCTCAATTATTCAATAGACCTCGTACATTAGCTTTCTCAGTAATGTTCCTGATGGAGTTGTTGTATAGTGAAACACTTGTTGCGTTGCGATTTTGTGAACTGTCCAGTAGAATATTATAATTCCATCACATATAAATATATAGTTTATTTAATTTCGATAATGCATATGGTGAGTCTGTAGGTCGTTTGGTTTTCAAACTATAACATACTGAAGGCAAATAGGTACAGTATTCTCAGTTTGATCTGCGCCAAGTGGAAGACGAAATGAAAATATGTTTAAGTTTGAGGAAAGTTCATTCAAAGTTTCAATGAATTGATGATGACCCCCTTCATTAAAATTTTCAACTCTGAATTTGAATTGTTCTTCATACAATTATCGGATATCCAAAAGTTGATTGATTAGAAGGTGGAATTTTGACTAGTGGTAATTTTGTATGTGCAAACTCAAATTTCGAACGAAAACATTAAGGAAAAGATAATAATTTTTTCTGCAACCTTCACAAGTATGTCATCGTGAATTATTCAAAAGAAATGAATATCTACTGCTCAATAAAACTTCTTATCAGTCATTTAATCATTTTTAAACAATGATTATTGGTAATGCCTTTGGTTAAGAATCACTAGTACTACTGATATTCAATTTTTTTTATAGGTCAACCTCATTGATCGAGTTAGATCTTTGAATAAACAGATCATGGTTCTCATAACAGATTTAATTTTCAGGAAATAGCTGGGGAGTTTGCGAAGATGGAGTCGGTAGAGTGGGTTGTGGACCTCAAGAACATTTCCGATCCTGCTCTGATATTGTCATCGTCTAGTCACCAAAGCGATAGAACATTCTAAGAAACTTAGTTCTACATGAATCAGCATATCCTTTCTTTCTTTCTCACTGAACACCAGTGACTTGTTGAGAATGTATTTGGAAATAAATTATTATAGAACGTTATTTTTATTGTACTCCAAAACTGAGGAAGTGAATCTGAAAATTGAACCCAAACCAGACTGCAACGATACCCACAATGTCTCATTACCGACCTTTTACGAATCAGCATACCTTTTTTTTTTACCAAACACCAGTGACTGGGGGTAGAATGTTTTTTCTAATAAATGATTATAGACCAGTATCTTGATTGAACTTCAAAACTGAGGAAATGAAACTGAAAATTGAACCCAAACCAGACTGCAACGCTACTCACAATGTCTCATTACTGACCTTTTATGAATCAGCATACCTTTTTTTTCACCTTACAAAACACCAGTGACTAGTACAGAATGTTTTTTCCAATAAATGATTAAACACCAGTATTTTGATTGTACTTCAAAACTGAGGGAACCAAAATGTAAATTGAACCCAAACCAGACTGCAACGATACTCAAAATGTCTCATAACCGACCTTTTAGGAATCAGCAAACCCTTTTTTTTTTCTTACCAAACACAAGTGACTGGTGTACACTGTTTTTTCTAATAAATGATTAAAGACTAGTATTTTGTCTGTTCCACCATCACTTTTTAGTAACCGTTCCGTTGAAGATCTTTTATGGTGATGCTAGACTTTCTTTCGTATTAAAGAGACCGAAAGCATAATCCACTAGCATAAACTCATTAGATTTTTGAACTTCAAGGTAAATGGTGTTTATAACGTTTATAATTTACATTCAGCTGGATTAACATTCAACATTTCACTATTAGAAAAACGAAGAATTATCTAGGACTTGGTCTTTATGTTCAAAATCCTTGGGAATTACTATGATGTTCCAGAACTACTATACTTAGTATCTATCCATGTACCATCCAGAAACACCAGAAATAGGCAATTTCTCTGTGGGTTTTCGGTATGAGAAACATTCAGTGTCGGCCCTCTTCACCAATACGTCTAAGAATGGCAGTTCGTTATGGACTCCCTTCCCTATTGTGGAGGTGATGCAAAGTTTTACGCTGTTGATTTGCTTCAGAAAGGTGTCTCATTCTGTAATGATATTGATATGACACGAAATTCTCATGAGTCATAAGTAATTCATCATTCTCGTCTCAGAAAGCTGTTGTTTGACGAAAAACGTGCCGAGGTTTTCAGGAAAACCTCATAATGAAAATCTTACAATAATTGAAATATCGGTTAGTATTTCTCAAATTTAGTAACAGAAAAAAACCAATGCTTGATGGCTACACATTGAAAATACATGAAAGAACACATTATCTGGAAATATGGAAATGGAAATATGTTTATAAAGGAAGACACTGCAAAACGTTGTATATGCTCTAAGAGAATACTTTTTATTTTTTTTTTAAATGAACTGAATTGCACTTATGATACATTGTTTGGAACATTTGTTGTGGTAAAGTATGGAGGTGTGCAGTATTTATTTCTCAGATTTACCTGACTGGTAGATGAGGCAATATTGCAGTGACGGCTCGTGCATTGGAGAACAGAGGAGGCTAAACTCATAAAGATTATACACATACAGAAAAGTCCGCCGGAGGCGCGAATATTTTTTTGGGGTACCGCACATATTTAAAGCAAAATACGTAATATTTGCATAAATGCAGACAAAAATTGTGTATTGCTGAAAATTATACTTATAAAACTGACCATTTAAAAACAAAAACAAGGAAAAAGGGTTGTCTTTGAGTTATTTGATATAAATGAACTCTTCCCAGTCAATAAATAATACTTTTCTCTTCTAATATGACAGTTTTGTTAAAAATTGCTACAAATATTTTATAAGCACAAGTACTTAATTANCAACATTGTGAGATCGATTCTAAGACTATTGAGACGCAGGTACCCAGCAGTATGGTAAAAATAAGGACAACATTGTATGTAAATTCACTTCAATCTTCTTTTTGAAGATGATAACTTGGTGATTGAAACACGTGTCGAGGTATTAAAAATAACGGTTTGGTGTTGGGACAGAACTCCAGTAATATTCGGAACTGAATTGAGTGACTTGATATTCGATGGTGAAATATTGTAAGTATGACAGTCTGGTGAATTTCTTCAGAAGACTGTAAGCCTATACGGAGTTTTGAGATGAGTTGCCCGTCTCCTCTATACTTATAGTTTGAATAAGAGAACCGACGTAGACCAATTGGTCAAATTATATCCATCTCTCATCTCTGTCATATTTTCTATACAGGCTGGGCCATCGAAAACTTGACATGGAGGTTTTGGATACTAATCTTGCAAATCCGAAAAAACGCTCAGACAGGTCGATTTTTACTGGGAGGGGGGCAGTTTTTTCCTCATTTATAGCGTCGTCACTTGAACCCCAAAGCAGAGGGCTGAACAACCCTTGGAATTTTAATGGGGAATAGGGTCGAGTTGCACATCGTTTGAAAGATCTTGGAATTCTCTAAACAATGGTGTACATTTTTTAAAATTTGGACGTATTCAAAAGAGTTCTTTCCGATAATTAACTTTTTCAATATTGTTAATAGCAACAAATTGTTGTACGCTACTGCTCAGTTGGAATATATTTGGAATTCTTTCATTTGTATCTCACGCTGATTTTTTGTTAATTTTTAAGTTCTTCTCTGATAAGAGGACTATTACAATTAAGAAATGGATGAAAATGCTGTTTCTATTTTTCATTTTCATGTTAAAAGTGATATCTACATTAAAATGTTGCTAAAGAAACAATGGTTTACACAACTGCAGAGAGAGTTGAGTTGATTGAACTGTAGTATCGAAATAGATGTTGTGCTGCGAGAGCCGCTGAACTGTTCAATCAACAACATGGGAAGAATGTGTCGCGACAGTATGTTTCCGATTTAATTGCAAAATTTCGCGCAACTGGATCTGTAGCAAATAAAAAACGGCAAATCGAACCAACAGTAACAAATGAGGCGACAACATGGCCAGCAATTCTGGGCCATGTTGAGATTGACCATATTTTGAGCACAAGAAAGTTAGCATTTGTTTCCGGGGTGTCACGAACTAGCATTCGGCGTATTTCAAAAACCCACAAAATGCATCCTTACAAGATTAAATTAACGCAAGAATTAATGAAGATGATTTCGATCGACACTTGCAATTTTGCGAGTTGGTTAGTGAACGAGCGGTGGAAAATCCACATTTTGTTTTCAACATTTGCTTCAGTGATGAATGTTTTTTTTTCTGAATGGCACAGTTGATCGCCATAATTGTCGTTATTGGGCGGATTCAAATCCTCACATTTTTCATGAAGTTCATACTCAACGTCCACAAATGTATCTGGAGCTTGTGGAAGATACTATTCATCTCCTTCTCACTGATATCATTGGAAATGACCACAATTATTGGAAGGACCTGTTGATATTTCAACAAGACGGGGCTCCTTCGCACTATGCTCTGCCTGTTCGGCAGTATTTAGATCAGACTTTTCCGGATCACTGGATTGGGAGGCGGGGCACTATTGAATGGCCGCCACGATCACCAGACCTTTCGCCGTTAGATTTCTTTTTGTGGGGTCATTTGAAAAGCAGAATTTACTGTACTCCTCCTGCATCAATCGAAGATTAACGGCAATGAATCATGAATGAATGTCGCCAAATCACTCCAGAAATGCTCCACAATGTTCGAGAACGTTTCCAGCAGCAGCATATGGTAGCATGAGAATAACGTAAGTAACTTCAACTTTAAATTTAATATGGTTTGTCCAAATTAGAGAATTCCAAGCTGTAAATGGAGAAAAAACTGTCACTATCCCAATAAAAATCGACCTGTCTGAGCGTTTTTTAGGATTTGCAGGATTAGTACCCAAAACCTCCACGTCAATTTTCGAAGGTCCATCCTGTATGAAGAAGCACTGGAATAGTATCAGACTACATGCAAATTATCAATTGATTTGATTTTCTAAAACAATTTTTAGACATTCCATAATTCATTTCAGGTACACCAATGAGTTCGACTATTTCACCAATTTTTGCACAATATGTGATAGATGACCTTTTTGACTACTGTATCCCAAAACATTTCTTTTCTTTTTCATATAATGAAAAATGGTATCAGATACATTGAATCAGAACAGACGAAAATGAAATTATTTCAGATTTGTGTATGAAACAAACCAATTCCTGTGAATTATTAAATTATCTATCTCATCAGCTACATAATATTGTAATCAACTCCGATTCGGGCGTGGAAAACTGTACTCCAAAATTATTTCGCTCAAACAGTTCGAAGATAAGGCAGAATTAGTTCCCATGGCACATGATCACCAGACAAGAAGTGAGTTTAATGTGCTAGTATCACGAACAGCAAAAGTGATAGGACAAAGATCGTATAGCTAAGACCCAAGACCTAAGACCCAAGACCCAAGTTATTTAACGCTCTACCCGATTTCTTGAAAAAGGATAGTAGTTGAATTCTCAACTAGTTTCTGTGATTTACAAAGATAAATTCCACCATTGTTAGAACTCACTGAACTGATAACCTCAGTGATGAGACGAAACTGTGACATTCACCAAATGTAGTCCAAAATAATTTCGTTCAAACAGTTCAAAGATAATGCAGAATCATGATCACCAGACAAAAAGTAAGTTGAATGTGGTAGTACCACGAATAGAAAAACTGATAGGACAAAGATCTTATAGCTACCTAGGACCCAAGTTATTAAACACTCTTCCCGATTTCTTGAAAAACATAAATAGCTACAAGTCCTCCCTTATTGATAAGAATTTGAAAAGAATATATATGTTGATAGAAAATTCTTATCCATCCAAAATCTTGAAAAATCACTTTTCAATACACTCTAACTATAAATCTTGAGGATCATGTCCTTCAATATGTCAATTATCTTCCAAAATTATCAATGTATTCAAACAAGCATCTTATATGAAATTTGCCCAACGAAATATCGAAACAATCAGTACAATGTATATTCCAACTTGAAAGTTCAAGAGTCTCCACTTAGGAAATGAAACGTAATCTAAAGTATACCTTGTATCCATGATAATAATCACACAAT